ATTTCCCCACGGCAGGGTTTCTCAAACTTGTTCATACCAAGGACCAGTTAACCAATAAAAAAACACTCGTGGACCACCTAACTCCACAAATATAAAAAAACACATCGTTTTTCTAGAACAGATTACAAATCGCTTGAAAATGGTACAAACAAGTGGCAACATGTGTGACGAAGGTGTTGCTCTGGGCTATATTATGCAATCACAAGTGAAACTTAAACTCGCTCCATTGTGGAGATATTCCCGCGAGAGTGCGGAAAACTTAAATGTATTTATTTATTTCAAATGTGAAATGTTACCAATATACTCACGGACCACTAGGGGGCGCTCACGGACCACCAGTAGTCCGCGGACCACACTTTGAGAAGCACTGCCCTACGGGGATGAATACAGGTCCATCTTATCTTATCTTATCTTATCTTAAATCCACGGTGAGTTAATATTAAATCGACTGGACATCGATCCCCTATTTATTCAGAGCTCCGTAAAAACAAAGCTGTCTCTGTCCGTCTGTCATAGTTCTGGAGTAATTACACAGTTTTTGACGAACATAAATATTGTTTTCTTGCATCACTTTAACATTTTACAGGGGGAAATCTGCATCTTGTTACGAGGGCGCAGCATCCCTGTTACCAAGTGTGGACAAAACCATAGGCGGAGTTTGACATTTGCGCTTGGGGGGGCAAACCTTTTTTACTGACGTCCCAACTATTGCGTGGGGTGCTATGGATACAGTAGCAATAAAGCCAGCGCTCACCGCACTGAGTATGACTTTTCCACATACGAACACAACTCGTCCCGTCATGCACGACGTACACACACACACTCATATGGCGGTCTCTCCCCCCAACAACAGTGCATTACATAACTGTAAAACTTATCATAACTGTGCACATCTTATACTTATTTGATAATTACTGTATCCCTTGGTTACTTGAACACGAAACATGATATTATTCAGATTTGTATTTTAACAATCATTTTATTACATCTATTAAAATATTGATATAAGACATATTTGTATTGGAACAGTTTTAGACGTAGTAATGCTGTAACATATTTCAGCCACTGGGGGAGGCAATGCCCCCCCTGCCGCCCCCCCCGCAAAATCCGCCTCTGGTCAAAACCCTGATATATCGATAAAATACTGCCATAAAAAGTCATTTTCTGCATGTTTTTAGTGAATAAACGATCAAATCCATACATTCTGTACACTACAGGTGAATAGGGTCAAACATTATAACTAATAGTCTCTTACGGAGAGCCACCACAGCTTGTGAGGACACTTCAGCGAGGAGATGTTTAAAGTTTTAACACTTCTCCCCCGGAAAACAAAGAGCGCTGGACACGCGGAGACGAGGAGAAACCGGAGTTACCGCCTCTGAATGTTTTATAGCCGCCGAGCCGGGAGGATAAGTGAGAGTGACACCGGCTCTGAGAGGGGAAATGCAGATGCTCCTCGTCCTGTGTTTATCTCACAATGCTGTAGCTTCACTGATGCAGAAATCCCCGTCCGTCTATATGTTCTCCTGCAGCTTTCTTTACATATTTACAGATCTATAGTATGCTCTTATCCTGAAATGAATCGAGTCGACACACTGAAACTGGTGTTAGTGAGGATTAAGGGATTTCTCTTCATATGATAATGAATCATTTGTTTGTTGTGTCTTTATGTTAATTCCTTTTCTTTCTACTTTTTAACCTTTTCAAAGTCAGAACAGAGACCTTGATTAACTTCTTTGCAGACTTGTATCCGTGTAAAAAAAGAAAGGAAGCTCATTAAGGTGATATTTAGAGTTTTTTTTACATTCCTAACCACTCAATCCAACAACATTTTAAGACTTTCCAGGCAATTCAAGCACCAAAAACAGCATACCTTGAGACATATATCAAAGATAATTACTTCTTTAGGATGCAGATGGCTAAACGTAGTATATTTTCTAACTTTAAGTTCAAAAAATACTTTTCTCATAAGGTTATTTAAGGACTTTCTCAAAGCACGGGACCAACATGCAGAAAGCACAATGTTCAATTCACTAACGTTAAGAAAATAAATAAATCAAAACAACTTATCTTTCCTTTCCTGCACAGAATATATAAACTCAAGATCTTTTTATATGACCCAGGTGTATTTATGACTATTTTCAAAAGCTTTTAAAGCCCTATTTTGACCATATTTACAACGCTATAAGTATCTCAAGGATCTGTTGAAACCCTATTAAAAGTACGCTGAAGGAACACAAATAACTTTTCCTGTATTTTAAGCCGTGGGGCCTCACCTCCGCAGCAGCAGCTTGGGATGGTTCTTGCTCTCCAGGTTGCGGTCGATCAGGTCTGACAGCAGGTGCTTCAGGACGTCGGTGGCGTACTCCAGGCGGCTCTGCAGCGCCGTCATGATGAGCGACGCCACGTTCCCGCGGTCCCTCATGGAGAAGGAGCGTTGCATCTCCAGCGTCCGGATGAAGGTGAGCAGGAACACCTTGTTGTTGATGAGCTGTCCGAACAGCTTCAGAGCTTTCTCCGTGCCCTGCTGCCCGTTACCAGACACCTGCAGGAGAACCAGAGTCAGTCATTTAGATAAGCAAGGTTTCTCTTCCTGTCGTGGTGTGTTCCCGCCTTTTGTGATTGTCTGCCTCACAGCTGATTTCAAGCTATGTTTATTAAAGTGGTGCAGTGATATTGTATATCTGTAATGGACCCTGAAGGCAGCATCTCCCTGACTCCTTGAAAAAGCCACTGTGTTTTTGGATGATGTCAGAAAATAATATCTGTGTCAAACAAACGTTTATGATACTTACACAATTTGTTGAGCAGGATAATCTCCACATATAAACACCTCTTAATGATTTCTGAAGTAAAAAGGACCTACATAAAGGAACTACAGCACGGTCACATGACTTCACGTCACCACCGCTAAGCTAAAGGTGGCTAATGTTGGGCTATAAAGGAACTACAGCACGGTCACATGACTTCACATCACCACCGCTAAGCTAAAGGTGGCTAATGTTGGGCTATAAAGGAACTACAGCACGGTCACATGGCTTCACATCACCACCGCTAAGCTAAAGGTGGCTAATGTTGGGCTATAAAGAAACTACAGCACGGTCACATGACTTCACGTCACCACCGCTAAGCTAAAGGTGGCTAATGTTGGGCTATAAAGGAACTACAGCACGGTCACATGACTTCACGTCACCACCACTAAGCTAAAGGTTGCTAATGTTGGTCTATAAAGGAATTACAGCACGGTCACATGACTTCACGTCACCACCGCTAAGCTAAAGGCGGCTAATGTTGGGCTATAAAGGAACTACAGCACGGTCACATGACTTCACGTCACCACCGCTAAGCTACAGGTGGCTAATGTTGGGCTATAAAGGAAGTACAGCACGGTCACATGACTTCACGTCACCACCGCTAAGCTAAAGGTGGCTAATGCTGGGCTATAAAGGAAGTACAGCACGGTCACATGACTTCACCTCACCACCGCTAAGCTAAAGGTGGCTAATGCTGGGCTATAAAGGAAGTACAGCACGGTCACATGACTTCACGTCACCACCTCTAAGCTAAAGGTGGCTAATGTTGGGCTATAAAGGAACTACAGCACGGTCACATGACTTCACGTCACCACCGCTAAGCTAAAGGTGGCTAATGTTGGGCGTGATGACGTTTAGTCGTCTTTTTTAGACACTTGTTAGCTTCCCCTCTGCAGCTGTGTTTTGTCTGTGTGATTAGTTCTGTCTATATACAGTATATGCCTGTAACCAGATATAGAGACAAGGAATGTGATCTTTCAAAACAGAAACACAAAATCCAGCATCACGACATTTGATTTCTACCGAGCTGAATGTGTTTTTGAAAATGTGTGTTGCTCCTCAACCTTTCTTCTTGACCTTGTCTCACCCAAAATAAAGATTTTTCCAAAACCTGGCTCATGTTTCTCTACCGGCAGACACACGGAGAGTAACTGAGAGGATCCTAATCAATTATTGACCCGCGCTGCTAAAAAGCAGTGAGTTGGCTGCCATTGCACTTTCATGTCAGATGTCAAGTAACTTCCCAGAGTAAGACGATACCAGAGAGGCACGAATCTCTTTCTCTGTGTTTCTTTGTCACTGTTTTAAAAAAGTTTGACATCTATTCTGAGGACTTGGAATGGAATATTTCGTCATTGTTGTGTGTATTTACTAAAGGGCACATTTGACGTTCTTGTACTTTACTTGAGTTTACCCATTTAATACTGCTTTATATAATATTATTTCTACACCATGATAATTGGATACACGTTCTTCAAAACTATGAAGACAACATACAGTATAATGTAATCAATTATGTTTGGGCGTTTTGACTCTAGGACCAATTTCCTTACGGGGACAATATTGTATGGTATCGTATTGTAGCGTTTCACATCGTAGCATTTCGTAGCATATCGTAGCATATCGTATTGTTACCTTGGTTGCTGATTGGCTAATGGTTACACAAGCCAAAACATCGTTATGACATCATAAAGTGGCCACAATCTGATCAGCTAATTTTCAGACAGGTTTTTATAGAAATGGATCAAAAAGAGAGAGAATCTTTGTTCCTGAAACTTTCAGAGTCTCTTTCCACAGAGGGGACACATGTTGATCTGGTAGAAGAGACATGAAGAAGAGGGGACACATGTTGATGTAGAAGCGACATGGAGAGAGGGGACACATGTTGATGTAGAAAGAGACATGAAGAGAGGGGACACATGTTGATGTAGAAGAGACATGAAGAAGGGGGACACATGTTGATGAAGAAGAGGACATGAAGAAGAGGGGATACATGTTGATGTAAGAAGAGACATGAAGAAGAGGGGACACATGTTGAGTAGAAGAGACATGAAGAAGAGGGGACACATGCTGATGTAGAAGAGACATGAATAAGAGGGGGACACATGTTGATGTAGAAGAGACATGAAGAAGAGGGGATACATGTTAATGTAGAAGAGACATGAAGAAGAGGGGGACACATGTTGATGTAGAAGAGACATGAAGAAGAGGGGACACATGTTGATGTAGAAGAGACATGAAGAAGAGGGGACACATGTTGATGTAGAAGAGACATGAAGGAGGGGACACATGTTGATGTAGAAGAGACATGAAGAAGAGGGGACACATGTTGATGTAGAAGAGACATGAAGAAGAGGGGACACATGTTGATGTAGAAGAGACATGAAGAAGAGGGGACACATGTTGATGTAGAAGAGACATGAAGAAGAGGGGACACATGTTGATGTAGAAGAGACATGAAGAAGAGGGGACACATGTTGATGTAGAAGAGACATGAAGAAGAGGGGACACATGTTGATGTAGAAGAGACATGAAGAAGAGGGGACACATGTTGATGTAGAAGAGACATGAAGAAGAGGGGACACATGTTGATGTAGAAGAGACATGAAGAAGAGGGGACACATGTTGATGTAGAAGAGACATGAAGAAGAGGGGACACATGTTGATGTAGAGAGACATGAAGAAGAGGGGACACATGTTGATGTAGAAGAGACATGAAGAAGAGGGGCACATGTTGATGTAGAAGAGACATGAAGAAGAGGGGACACATGTTGATGTAGAAGAGACATGAAGAAGAGGGGACACATGTTGATGTAGAAGAGACATGAAGAAGAGGGGACACATGTTGATGTAGAAGAGACATGAAGAAGAGGGGACACATGTTGATGTAGAAGAGACATGAAGAAGAGGGGACACATGTTGATGTAGAAGAGACATGAAGAAGAGGGACACATGTTGATGTAGAAGAGACATGAAGAAGAGGGGACACATGTTGATGTAGAAGAGACATGAAGAAGAGGGGGACACATGTTGATGTAGAAGAGACATGAAGAAGAGGGGACATATGTTGATGTAAGAAGAGACATGAGAAGAGGGGACACATGTTGATGGAGAAGAGACCATGAAGAAGAGGGGACACATTGCTGATGTAGAAGAGACATGAAGAAGAGGGGAACACATGTTGATGTAGAAGAGACATGAAGAAGAGGGGACACATGTTGATGTAGAAGAGACATGAAGAAGAGGGGACACATGTTGATGTAGAAGAGACATGAGAGAAGGGGGACACATGTTTGATGTAGAAGAGACATGAAGAAGAGGGACACATGCTGGATGTAGAAGAGCATGAAGAAGAGGGGACACATGTTGATGTAGAAGAGACATGGAGAAGAGGGACACATGTTGATGTAGAAGAGGACTATGAAGAAGAGGGGACACATGTTGATGTAGAAGAGACATGAAGAAGAGTGGATACATGTTAATGTAGAAGAGACATGGAGAAGAGGGGACACATGTTGATGTAGAAGAGACATGAAGAAGAGGGGACACATGTTGATGTAGAAGAGACATGAAGAAGAGGGGACACATGTTGATGTAGAAGAGACATGAAGAAGAGGGGACACATGTTGATGTAGAAGAGACATGAAGAAGAGGGGACACATGTTGATGTAGAAGAGACATGAAGAAGAGGGGACACATGTTGATGTAGAAGAGACATGAAGAAGAGGGGACACATGTTGATGTAGAAGAGACATGAAGAAGAGGGGACACATGTTGATGTAGAAGAGACATGAAGAAGAAGGGGACACATGGTTGATGTAGAAAGAGACATGAAGAAGAGGGGACACATGTTGATGTAGAAGAGACATGAAGAAGAAGGGGACACATGTTGATGTAGAAGAGCATGAAGAAGAGGGGACACATGTTAATGTAGAAAGAGCATGAAGAAGAGGGGACACATGTTGATGTAGAAGAGACATGAAGAAGAGGGGACACATGTTGATGTAGAGAGACATGAAGAAGAGGGGACACATGTTGATGTAGAAGAGACATGAAGAAGAGGGGACACATGTTGATGTAGAAGAGACATGAAGAAGAGGGGACACATGTTGATGGTAAGAAGAGACATGAAGAAGAGGGGACCATGTTGATGTAGAAGAGACCATGAAGAAGAGGGGACACATGTTGATGTAGAAGAGACATGAAGAAGAGGGGACACATGTTGATGTAGAAGAGACATGAAGAAGAGGGGACACATGTTGATGTAGAAGAGACATGAAGAAGAGGGGACCATGTTGATGTAGAAGAGACATGAAGAAGAGGGGACACATGCTGATGTAGAAGAGACATGAAGAAGAGGGGACACATGTTGATGTAGAAGAGACATGAAGAAGAGGGACACATGTTGATGTAGAAGAGACTGAAGAAGAGGGGACACATGTTGATGTAGAAGAGACATGAAGAAGAGGGGACACATGTTTGATGTAGAAGAGACATGAAGAAGAGGGGACACATGTTGATGTAGAAGAGACATGAAGAAGAGGGGACACATGTTGATGTAGAAGAGACATGAAGAAGAGGGGACACATGTGATGTAGAAGAGACATGAGAAGAGGGGACACATGTTAGAAGCGACATGAAGAAGAGGGGACACATGTTGATGTAGAAGAGACATGAAGAAGAGGGGACACATGTTGATGTAGAAGAGGACATGAAGAAGAGGGGACACATGTTTGATGTAGAAGAGACATGAAGAAGAGGGGACCATGTTGATGTAGAAGAGACATGAAGAAGAGGGGACACAATGTGATGTAGAAGAGACATGAAGAAGAGGGGACACATGTTGATGTAGAAGAGACATGAAGAAGAGGGGACACATGTTGATGGAGAAGAGACATGAAGAAGAGGATTTTGCACAGTAGGTGACCTTTAAGATACTATATGTCCACTAGTACTAAGAAGGGACACTTTGAGCTCCAGGGTGCAGGACAGTCTGAACTGAACCACCGCTTCATGATCCAAAGATAGAAAGATGGAGATGTATCATGACCAATCTCTCCTCCCCTGACAGTTTCCTCCACTCTGTCTGTTCCTCACAAAATAAACTCATTTCCCAGCATGCCTCTGGCCCCCGGAGGAGTGTTAACAGACACTGGAGGAGCCATCGGTCCTGAAGGAGGATCAGGAATTACTCAGTTCATTACCTCTCATCCTGCAGCCACTGGTGGATGAATTAGCTGTGAGTTGGGACCCTGTTTCCCATGCATGTCAGGTGTATATATGTGTGTGTGTGTGTGTGTGTGTGTGTGTGTGTGTGTGTGTGTGTGTGTGTGTGTGGTTTGAAGGGATAAGCACAATGCTATTTCCCCCCGTGCAGGAACTTGCTACTGCACACCGTCTCTTGTTTTTAGCCTCATTCTGACTTTCTCCTGTATTTTCTTCACTTATTGCCCCTCAGACGTCTTATTTTCAGTCCCTGGCTGCATTCAAATATTGCATTTTGTTTTTTGACAAAGTAAAAAAACAAGTTCCCCTCCACACCTGAGCTCTGCTAAGTGCCCCGATAAACATTCCTGTTGTAATCTTGCAATATACTTATTCATATAAATAGTTATCGCCCAAATAAACCGTATTTAATTTTGTCTGAATGTACATTATTTAATGTCATATTCTGTTCTTGTACATATCATATTCTATTAACATATATATAGACTTCTTGCTCTATATTACACTGTAGCTTATGTGCATATGACAATGAAACCTTTGAATCTGGAATCTCCTTACCTCCAGCTCTCTGAGCACAGGGTGGTCCTCGATGCCGGGGAACAGGACCCTCATGGCGTACGTCCTGTAGTCCAGGTGGGGGATCCCGGCCCGGTCCAGGTCGCTCGTCAGCTCGTTGATGTCCGTCTGCAGCTCGGCGAAGGCTGTGGGGGGACACAACGTTAACTCCTTAAAGGTCCCCTATTATACTGTTTGTCATCAATATGGAAGATGTGAGTACTTCTACTTTTACTCAAGTACAAGATGTGAGTACTTCTACTTTTACTCAAGTACAAGATGTGAGTACTTCTACTTTTACTCAAGTACAAGATCTGAGTACTTCTACTTTTACTCAAGTACAAGATCTGAGTACTTCTACTTTAACTCAAGTACAAGATGTGAGTACTTCTACTTTTACTCAAGTACAAGATCTGAGTACTTCTACTTTTACTCAAGTCCAAGATATGAGTACTTCTACTTTTACTCAAGTACAATATGTGAGTACTTCTACTTTTACTCAAGTACAAGATGTGAGTACTTCTACTTTTACTCAAGTACAAGATGTGAGTACTTCTACTTTTACTCAAGTCCAAGATATGAGTACTTCTACTTTTACTCAAGTACAAGATGTGAGTACTTCTACTTTTACTCAAGTCCAAGATATGAGTACTTCTACTTTACTCAAGTACAATATGTGAGTACTTCTACTTTTACTCAAGTACAAGATGTGAGTACTTCTACTTTTACTCAAGTACAAGATGTGAGTACTTCTACTTTTACTCAAGTACAAGATGTGAGTACTTCTACTTTTACTCAAGTACAATATCTGAGTACTTCTACTTTTACTACTGGCTAAAGCTGCCCCATTTACTGTTTTTTGTGACAGTTGATTAATGGGGACTGTCCACGACACTATAAACAAATACACTAAACTAAAATATTTTCTGTAACACCGACCTTCTTTGCACTCGAGGGCGACTCGTGACTCCAGGTTGTCCATCTGCATCTGCAGGCGCTTCAGCGTCAGGTCGTTTTCCCGGGACTTCCTCTTGTAGGCGATGAGGACGAGGATGACGATGATGAGGAGGAGGCCTCCGCCTGCCGCAATGCTGACGATGGCCGGGAGCGTGAGCAGGCTGTCGGACATGATGTGGACCGAGCCGGGGGAGACGTGGAGACCCCCCACCTGGACCTGAGGAGAGAGAAAAGTACAGTAAATACATTATTGTTTAATTATTTCCCTTCCAGAAGATGGTGACATCACTATGGAACACTCATGCTCCTAATGGCTAGCGCTCCAACACACTGTACGTGATACGCTAAGGGGGCGGGACATCTCTAAGTGGTTGACCAATCGCAACAGAGCCGGCCAGCTAACCAATCAGAGCAGACTCTTTAACATCAGCAGGAGAGGACTCTTTAAAGTAGAGACACTACATACTGATATACACCTGAACATCAGCAGGAGAGGACTCTTTAAAGTAGAGACACTACAAACTGATATACACCTGAACATCAGCAGGAGAGGACTCTTTAAAGTAGAGACACTACATACTGATATACACCTGAACATCAGCAGGAGAGGACTCTTTAAAGTAGAGACACTACATACTGATATACACCTGAACATCAGCAGGAGAGGACTCTTTAAAGTAGAGACACTACAAACTGATATACACCTGAACATCAGCAGGAGAGGACTCTTTAAAGTAGAGACACTACATACTGATATACACCTGAACATCAGCAGGAGAGGACTCTTTAAAGTAGAGACACTACATACTGATATACACCTGAACATCAGCAGGAGAGGACTCTTTAAAGTAGAGACACTACATACTGATATACACCTGAACATCAGCAGGAGAGGACTCTTTAAAGTAGAGACACTACATACTGATATACACCTGAACATCAGCAGGAGAGGACTCTTAAAGTAGAGACACTACATACTGATATACACCTGAACATCAGCAGGAGAGGACTCTTTAAAGTAGAGACACTACATACTGATATACACCTGAACACCAGCAGGAGAGGACTCTTTAAAGTAGAGACACTACATACTGATATACACCTGAACATCAGCAGGAGAGGACTCTTTAAAGTAGAGACACTACATACTGATATACACCTGAACATCAGCAGGAGAGGACTCTTTAAAGTAGATACACTACACACTGATATACACCTGACACCAGCAGGAGAGGACTCTTTAAAGTAGATACACTACACACTGATATACAACCTGAACATCAGCAGGAGAGGACTCTTTAAAGTAGAGACACTACATACTGATATACACCTGAAACATCAGCAGGAGAGGACTCTTTAAAGTAGAGACACTACATACTGATATACACCTGAACATCAGCAGGAGAGGACTCTTTAAAGTAGAGACACTACATACTGATATACACCTGAACATCAGCAGGAGAGGACTCTTTAAAGTAGAGACACTACAAACTGATATACACCTGAACATCAGCAGGAGAGGACTCTTTAAAGTAGAGACACTACATACTGATATACACCTGAACATCAGCAGGAGAGGACTCTTTAAAGTAGAGACACTACATACTGATATACACCTGAACATCAGCAGGAGAGGACTCTTTAAAGTAGAGACACTACATACTGATATACACCTGAACATCAGCAGGAGAGGACTCTTTAAAGTAGAGACACTACATACTGATATACACCTGAACATCAGCAGGAGAGGACTCTTTAAAGTAGAGACACTACATACTGATATACACCTGAACATCAGCAGGAGAGGACTCTTTAAAGTAGAGACACTACATACTGATATACAACCTGAACACCAGCAGGAGAGGACTCTTTAAAGTAGAGACACTACATACTGATATACACCTGAACATCAGCAGGAGAGGACTCTTTAAAGTAGAGACACTACATACTGATATACACCTGAACATCAGCAGGAGAGGACTCTTTAAAGTAGATACACTACACACTGATATACCCTGAACACCAGCAGAGAGGACTCTTTAAAGTAGATACACTACACACTGATATACACCTGAACATCAGCAGGAGAGGACTCTTTAAAGTAGAGACACTACATACTGATATACACCTGAACATCAGCAGGAGAGGACTCTTTAAAGTAGAGACACTACATACTGATATACACCTGAACATCAGCAGGAGAGGACTCTTTAAAGTAGAGACACTACATACTGATATACAACCTGAACATCAGCAGGAGAGGACTCTTTAAAGTAGAGACACTACATACTGATATACACCTGAACATCAGCAGGAGAGGACTCTTTAAAGTAGAGACACTACATACTGATATACACCTGAACATCAGCAGGAGAGGACTCTTTAAAGTAGAGACACTACATACTGATATACACCTGAACACCAGCAGGAGAGGACTCTTTAAAGTAGAGACACTGCATACTGATATACACCTGAACATCAGCAGGAGAGGACTCTTTAAAGTAGAGACACTACATACTGATATACACCTGAACATCAGCAGGAGAGGACTCTTTAAAGTAGATACACTACACACTGATATACACCTGAACACCAGCAGGAAAGGACTCTTTAAAGTAGATACACTACACACTGATATACACCTGAACATCAGCAGGAGAGGACTCTTTAAAGTAGAGACACTACATACTGATATACACCTGAACATCAGCAGGAGAGGACTCTTTAAAGTAGAGACACTACATACTGATATACACCTGGACATCAGCAGGAGAGGACTCTTTTGAGATATATTTCGCAGTACGTGAGTATATGTGTGAGTTTAGAAGCAGAAGAACCCACAGAAAAGACAGAAATAGAGAGTAAAGGAGGACGTATGGTAGGGGGGCACTGACCATGATTTTGTACTGTCCGGTGAGATTTGGGGGCTCACACAGCAGCTGGCTCTCGGACACGGTGACGGAGCAGGGGGTCTCTCCGATCAGCACCGTGTAGTTCAGCTTCACCCCTCCAGAAACCGGGGGCACCAGGTTTCTGCCCTGAGGGGGGGGGGGGGGGGGGGGGGGGGGGGGGGAGAAATTAAGAGGCAAACTCAACCCATGGCTCATTGGAGATGAAAGCCATTTTTTAAAACCCACAAAGCAAACACACACCCCTCACACACACGCACGCCTCACACACGGTGGATTACATCCCAGCTGCGGCCAAATGTGGCTCCATACTGAGATCAAACAAGGTGAGATATATAAATATACATTTCACAGAGAAATAAGGGGGGACAGCTAGCAATCCGGATGGAAAAAATTAATTAAATTCCTCAGAGAATTCTGCCAGAAACAACCCCTATAATGAGAAATACATTCAGGTGATATTTGGTGTAAATGTTGGCAACTATTTTAGAATTGGTGCAAGACTTACTCTATTATTTTTTGTCTTTGAATCAACAAAAAGTCGATTAATTATAGTCGTTTTAGTTACTCAATACTTAGTGAATTATGTCGAACAAGTCTTCTTACAACTAACCATAATGAGAAATAAAATGATATATATACCGAGCTGATTTCTCTAGTAAACTGCTAAGTATTTAAGAGTTATGCTTATTATCTAATAATCTCATTTGTTTTCTGTCACATTTCAAAGTCTTTTAGTGACCCTGTAGTCCAGATTTAGTTTCTTAAGTCAAGCTTGTATATCCTATATCCTATATCCTTCATAAGTCTTACAAGTTAGTTTGAATGTATTACAAATGCTAAGTCGTGGAAGGTAGGATTTAAGAAATAGTTTTGAAATTCGTTGAAGTCTTTTAGTCGCCTTTACTCCACATTCAGTTTTAAAAAGTGGTTGTTTTTGCTTTAAAAATGGTTTTCTCTTAAGTCTCACATGTGACACAGCTCATAGTGATCGCCCTCTCTCGCTTCCCAATCAGCCATTGGATAAAAGCCAAGTTATACAAATCAGACTGTCAATCAAATGCAGGAAATCGTGTACATTTGTGGTATAAATATAAAAAATGCTGTGCACAAAGCTGGACCATCGATATCCAGATAAAGTGACAACGACCGAACAAGAAGACGAATCTGTGTCTTGCAATGTTACGAGTGTGTTTTAACACTAGTTGAATATAACATTTTTACATGGGGTTTTTATATTTTTGTAGTTATTGTGCTTTTTATCAGGTTTTTAAATCATTGCTTTATTATTTTACTCCCATTGTGTTATTTTATATTGTATGTATTCCCTGTACAGCACTTTGGTCACCTGAGGTTGTTTTTAAATGTGTTGTATAAATAAATAAAGATTGAGATTGAATAGCACATTTTAAGACACAGAGGTAATTCAAAGTGCTTCACATAGCCATTCAACACAAAAAAAAAAAAGACAATTCATGAAAGCGATAAAATACTGGCTGGCAGCTATTTTAGATTTGGTCTTAGTCTTTAGACGAAAATGGTTATTAGTTTGTCACATTTTAGTCCTTCATAGTTTTAGTCGACGAAAACTCAAAATGTTTTAGTCCTTCATAGTTTTAGTCGATGAAAAATCATTACATTCTAGTCAACTTTTAGTCAAAATGTTTTCTCTCTTCAAACCAATTCAGTTAGGCAAATACAGGAATCTGAAATTGGAATCAAGGTGACAGCATCAAGTGTTGAAATTCGTAAAGCAACATTTCACTCTCTTAACACTTTACTTGTGTAATATCTAGGGATGGGTATCGTTAAGGTTTTTAACGGTACTACTACTCTGTGTGCATGCCGCTGCAGCGTGTCTGTTAGGTCCCGCCCCCTGCACACAGAGAGAGAGGCCTTGCCCCCTGCACACAGAGAGAGAGAGGACCCGCCCCCTGCACACAGAGAGACACAGGGAGATCGCTCTTCTGGAGTGAAGAGAGCGGAAATAATGATATTGCAAGTTGGAAACGTAAGATGCATTTTGACAGACAGACACTTGGGGGGAAATACCCTGCGTTTTGAATGTCTAATAGTCCACCATTAACACCTTAGTCCCGTCCCGTCCCGTCAACGAAAACTAAATATACATTTCGTCATCGTTTTTATGATCAAGAGTCTATTTTTAGCTCGTCATCGTCTCGTCTTAGTCGTGTAAAAAAGGTCGTTGACGAACATTTTTCGTCATAGTTTTCGTTGAGGAAATGAACACTGGCACGGTTAAAGGATCTCAGGATAGGCTGCGTTTGTGTTTCCTGTACCTTGAGAATAATGGGAGATCCAGGTTTCTGCTCCAGGACCCCCGAGGTGCTGAGGGGCTCGAACACGGGGTTGGGGTAGTACAGCAGGTTGGTGTTGTTGTAGACCAGCAGCGCCTGAACGTTATTGAAGATGAAACCAAACTCATCCGCGTGCTTCACTGAGTCCAAGGTGGGATTATACTCCGCCATCAGGGAGGGGGCGAAGCAGCTCATACAGGTGGAGTTCAACACCTTACACACCTGAGGGGGGGGAAGGGGAAGATAGAGAGTTATTCAACTGTGATCTACACATCATGGTATAACCAGAGACAGGAAGTAAACACTGAAGGGGACAGCAGGAGAAGACAGACAGGAAGTAAAGACTTAGCAGGAGAAGACAGACAGGAAGTAAACACTAAAGGGAACAGCAGGAGAAGACAGACAGGAAGTAAAGACTTAGCAGGAGAAGATAGACAGGAAGTAAAGACTTAGCAGAAGAAGACAGACAGGAAGTAAACACTAAAGGGAACAGCAGAAGAAGACAGACATGAAGTAAACACTAAAGGGAACAGCAGAAGAAGACAGACAGGAAGTAAACACTAAAGGGAACAGCAGAAGAAGACAGACATGAAGTAAACACTAAAGAGAACAGCAGAAGAAGACAAACAGGAAGTAAACACTAAAGAGAACAGCAGAAGAAGACAGACAGGAAGTTAACACTAAAGGGAACAGCAGAAGAAGACAGACAGGAAGTAAACACTAAAGGGAACAGCAGAAGAAGACATACAGGAAGTTAACACTAAAGGGAACAGCAGAAGAAGACAGACAGGAAGTAAACACTAAAGAGAACAGCAGAAGAAGACAGACAGGAAGTAAACACTAAAGGGAACAGCAGAAGAAGACAGACAGGAAGTAAACACTAAAGGGAACAGCAGAAGAAGACAGACAGGAAGTAAACACTAAAGGGAACAGCAGAAGAAGACAGACAGGAAGTAAACACTAATGGGAACAGCAGAAGAAGACATACAGGAAGTAAAACACTAAAGGGAACAGCAGAAGAAGACAGACAGGAAGTAAACACTAAAGAGAACAGCAGAAGAAGACAGACATGAAGTAAACACTAAAGAGAACAGCAGAAGAAGACAGACAGGAAGTAAACACTAATGGGAACAGCAGAAGAAGACAGACATGAAGTAAACACTAAAGAGAACAGCAGAAGAAGACAGACAGGAAGTAAACACTAAAGAGAACAGCAGAAGAAGACATACAGGAAGTAAACACTAAAGGGAACAGCAGAAGAAGACAGACAGGAAGTAAACACTAAAGGGAACAGCAGAAGAAGACAGACATGAAGTAAACACTAAAGAGAACAGCAGAAGAAGACAGACAGGAAGTAAACACTAATGGGAACAGCAGAAGAAGACATACAGGAAGTTAACACTAAAGGGAACAGCAGAAGAAGACAGACAGGAAGTAAACACTAATGGGAACAGCAGAAGAAGACAGACAGGAAGTAAACACTAAAGGGAACAGCAGAAGAAGACAAACAGGAAGTAAACACTAAAGGGAACAGCAGAAGAAGACAGACAGGAAGTAAACACTAAAGAGAACAGCAGAAGAAGACAGACAGGAAGTAAACACTAAAGGGAACAGCAGAAGAAGACAAACAGGAAGTAAACACTAAAGGGAACAGCAGAAGAAGACAAACAGGAAGTAAACACTAAAGGGAACAGCAGAAGAAGACAGACAGGAAGTAAACACTCAAGTTGTTTTCCTTTATCTCGCTGCAAAATAAAAAGCTGAAGTGTTATAAAGTTAGTTTGAACCTAAAGTGAGACATTCACTGAAACACATCGGCATCAACGCGACCCCGGCACGGAGCGTGTAATTGGCAGATAAAATCCTCAGAGCAAAGGATTTATCACCTGTCGTTAAATCCGTCGTTATTGGAGAGGAAGCCTCCGTAAATAAGTGGCAGAAAAACACGGGAGAGGACGGAGGCATGGCCGCCGGTGGAGGCTGAGCTACGAGTCTTTTATTACTTCTTCTCTGCCGTTTCCCCCCCCCCCCGAGCACAGAGCTGTCCTCCATCAGACCTGAGGCCTGGAGCATTGATCGCTGCTCCTCCCAGCTCGCTCTCAGGGGAGAAACTTCATTAGAGGTAAATATCTTCAAAGCTGCTGCGACCACCAGCCTCCAACCTGTTGTGTGCAGCCCGGAGATCAATGAAGACTCTCTGGCATGGTTTAGAGGAGGAGGAGGAGGAGGAGGAGGAGGAGGAGGAGGAGGAGGAGGAGGAGGAGGAGGAGGAGGAGGAGGAGGAGGAGGAAGAGGAGGAGGAAGAGGAGTAGCTGACACGTGCAAACTCATCACAAAGCAAACGCTGGAAGTGTGCGATACTTTTTAGTGTGTGCGTCACTCTTTAGTGTCCCCTGGTCTCCCAGCTGTGTGCGTAACTTTTCAGTGTCCCCTGGTCTCCCAGTTGTGATCGTCACTTTTAGTGTCCCCTGGTCTCCCAGCTGTGTGCGTCACTATTTTGTGTCCCCTGGTCTCCCAGCTGTGTGCGTCACTATTTAGTGTCCCCTGGTCTCCCAGCTGTGTGCGTCACTATTTAGTGTCCCCTGGTCTCCCAGCTGTGTGCGTAACTTTTTAGTGTCCCCTGGTCTCCCAGTTGTGATCGTCACTTTTTAGTGTCCCCTGGTCTCCCAGCTGTGTGCGTCACTATTTCGTGTCCCCTGGTCTCCCAGCTGTGTGCGTCACTATTTAGTGTCCCCTGGTCTCCCAGCTGTGTGCGTCACTATTTACTGTCCCCTGGTCTCCCAGCTGTGTGCGTCACTTTTTAGTGTCCCCTGGTCTCCCAGCTGTGTGCGTCACTTTTTAGTGTCCCCTGGTCTCCCAGCTGTGTGTGTCACTTTTTAGTGTCCCCTGGTCTCCCAGCTGTGTGCGTCACTCTTTAGTGTCCCCTGGTCTCCCAGCTGTGTGCGTCACTATTTAGTATCCCCTGGTCTCCCAGCTGTGTGCGTCACTTTTTAGTGTCCCCTGGTCTCCCAGCTGTGTGCGTCACTTTTTAGTGTCCCTTGGTCTCCCAGCTGTGTGCGTCACTCTTTAGTGTCCCCTGGTCTCCCAGCTGTGTTCGTCACTCTTTAGTGTCCCCTGGTCTCCCAGCTGTGTGCGTCACTCTTTAGTGTCCCCTGGGTCTCCCAGCTGTGTGCGTCAATCTTTAGTGTCCCCTGGTCTCCCAGCTGTGTGCGTCACTCTTTAGTGTCCCCTGGTCTCCCAGCTGTGTGCGTCACTCTTTAGTGTCCCCTGGTCTCCCAGCTGTGTGCGTCACTCTTTAGTGTCCCCTGGTCTCCCAGCTGTGTGCGTCACTCTTTAGTGTCCCCTGGTCTCCCAGCTGTGTGCGTCACTCTTTAGTGTCCCCTGGTCTCCCAGCTGTGTGTGTCAATCTTTAGTGTCCCCTGGTCTCCCAGCTGTGTGCGTCACTCTTTAGTGTCCCCTGGTCTCCCAGCTGTGTGCGTCACTCTTTAGTGTCCCCTGGTCTCCCAGCTGTGTTCGTCACTCTTTAGTGTCCCCTGGTCTCCCAGCTGTGTGCGTCACTCTTTAGTGTCCCCTGGTCTCCCAGCTGTTGTGCGTCAATCTTTAGTGTCCCTGTCTCCCAGCTGTGCGCGTCACTCTTAGTGTCCCCTGGTCTCCCAGCTGTGTGCGTCACTCTTTAGTGTCCCCTGGTCTCCCAGCTGGTGCGTCACTCTTTAGTGTCCCCTGGCTCCCAGCTGTGTGCGTCACTTTATAGTGTCCCCTGGTCTCCCAGCTGTGTTCGTCACTCTTTAGTGTCCCCTGGTCTCCCAGCTGTGTGCGTCACTCTTTAGTGTCCCCTGGTCTCTCCCAGCTGTGTGCGTCAATCTTAGTGTCCCCTGGTCTCCCAGCTGTGTGCGCACTCTTTAGTGTCCCCTGGTCTCCCAGCTGTGTGCGTCACTCTTTAGTGTCCCCTGGTCTCCCAGCTGTGTGCGTCACTCTTTAGTGTCCCCTGGTCTCCCAGCTGTGTGCGTCACTCTTTAGTGTCCCCTGGTCTCCCCAGCTGTGTGCATCACTCTTTAGTGTCCCCTGGTCCTCCCAGCTGTGTGCGTCACTCTTTAGTGTCCCCTGGTCTCCCAGCTGTGTGCGTCACTCTTTAGTGTCCCCTGGTCTCCCAGCTGTGTGTGTCAATCTTTAGTGTCCCCTGGTCTCCCAGCTGTGTGCGTCACTCTTTAGTGTCCCCTGGTCTCCCAGCTGTGTGCGTCACTCTTTAGTGTCCCCTGGTCTCCCAGCTGTGTTCGTCACTCTTTAGTGTCCCCTGGTCTCCCAGCTGTGTGCGTCACTCTTTAGTGTCCCCTGGTCTCCCAGCTGTGTGCGTCAATCTTTAGTGTCCCCTGGTCTCCCAGCTGTGTGCGTCACTCTTTAGTGTCCCCTGGTCTCCCAGCTGTGTGCGTCACTCTTTAGTGTCCCCTGGTCTCCCAGCTGTGTGCATCACTCTTTAGTGTCCCCTGGTCTCCCAGCTGTGTGCGTCACTTTATAGTGTCCCCTGGTCTCCCAGCTGTGTTCGTCACTCTTTAGTGTCCCCTGGTCTCCCAGCTGTGTGCGTCACTCTTTAGTGTCCCCTGGTCTCCCAGCTGTGTGCGTCAATCTTTAGTGTCCCCTGGTCTCCCAGCTGTGTGCGTCACTCTTTAGTGTCCCCTGGTCTCCCAGCTGTGTGCGTCACTCTTTAGTGTCCCCTGGTCTCCCAGCTGTGTGCATCACTCTTTAGTGTCCCCTGGTCTCCCAGCTGTGTGCGTCACTCTTTAGTGTCCCCTGGTCTCCCAGCTGTGTGCGTCACTCTTTAGTGTCCCCTGGTCTCCGTTGTGTTCTGAGCTTCTTGCAGCGTCTGGTTTCTGCAGCTCCTCATGTCTCCTCGAGTCGCTGAATGTCCTCTAAAAGCTGCATGTGTTGTCAAGTTGCTGAAGAGGTTTCTTCATGTGTTTTGGCAACATTTGATATCTGCATGGTTTCTGAAGGTGCAGCTCGTTTCTCCTTATGGAAATGTTTTGGGCCACCGTATGTACCGGCCTCCTTTACTCAGTTTCCAACTCTATTATACAGGCTTTGGAGTTTTCACCATGTGATGCATTGAATCTAACATGAACTAATTTGCATACGTGTGCATGACTTTAGGCGGCAACTAACAATTATTTGATTTATTGATTAAGTATTACTGACATAACAGTTTCTCTTACACAATTCCTTATATA